TTAAGAATGCACCGAAAATTGAGAATTGCAGGCATTATACAACTGAGCAAATATCTAAGACGCATATGGAGGCTGGTATGAAAATTTTAAGTAAACAAAATGATGTTAGCATACACCATCGGCGGAAAACTCCGATGGAAGACGCTGAAACAACCATTTTAAACGGATTCTTTGAGAAAATAGAAAAGGTTCCGATTATGAAACCAGTCGACCCAAAAGAATCTAGCATTCTCTACACAGACTTAGCAGCCGGTGGTGGACGACACGCGTACCTTAATACGAGATACCACAAGTTGCCTGAAGACAAATACACTTCTTGTGTGACAACAAACAACGACTATGGTTGGAAACTGAATGAAAATGAATTAAAAAGGGGTCCACCAGAGCATAACCGTTATAGCATATTTGTACACGACCTAGTAAGACGTTCTGGAGCACACCCAGATCCACCAGAGTCCTTGAAGCCAAAGGATGCCCAGTATATAAGATGTGTTGGATTATAATAATTCTGCTTACAACGCTTGGATGGAATTACTTTAAACGTTGCGATATTACAAAAGAGTTCCAAATTACGTAATCAATAGCAGATTATAGATATTTCAATAAAGTTCTTGTGGCAATAAAAATCTTATTTCATTAAGTAATTACGTTACAAAACTGTCTCCTTAAACTATCTATCGATTGTCGCAGAGAACCTAACGGGTAACCTGGGCTCCGGCTCGACGTGTAGCAGAAGGAATGGGGTGGTTTTTAGTCAGTAAGAGTCTGACACTCCCTCCCGCCTCAACCAGGCGGGAGCAGTCATTCGACAATTTTCCCCCCTTAAAAAAAAATTATCGATTGATATAATTATTTCGAACTTCCTACAACCTAAAGGAAAATTGTTCTTATTAAGGTGACCTTAAAGACCAGTCCGGAATTCATTGTACTTGTACATACCTACTCAGACCTTAAAGGCCACAGGGAGGTACTTTTAAGGTTATGAACAAAAAGTAGCAGCAATGTGAAACCCTTGAGCACGGCACGTTTCAACAAAACATTGTCTAACGGCCACAATGGGACTGAAACTTTTATCATCTACCCGGCAACCATCCACAGAGCTCTAAGTTTTATTTAGCCCATAAACGACCGTGTATGTAGTGCACGGACAATGCGACCCTAGCAATTTAACCATGGTATAAAATAATTAAGGATATAGCTGTTTTAATATCTTGAGGTCTAATGCGCAGATAAACTTCTCAGATGCATTTTTTTTTTCGATTTTACCATTACCAAGACCTAACAAATTCTTTCATACTGGTTAGGATCACATTCTTTGAGACTGCCCAAATTGCCTTATAAACACAACCTTTTTAAATACAAGACAAGCAAAAAGATGAATTCAAGGACGTCGAACAAAGAAGGACATTGGCACCTGGCTACTATAGACTTACACGCAAAATACACACACATTGACATGAAGGACATCTGTCGCGTGACATGGCCCGTCATTGCACTTCATATATAACGGTGTTGCAAGTACACGAACACATAAATAAACTACTGACATTTTGGTGCTTCAATGTACTAGTAACATTAGGTTCGCATTTTATTATTTTTGTCACTAACTTTAAGTACGTTACTTAAGTACTCCTTGGTCACACAGTAGATTTTGACATTGATTAACTTTTGAAAAGATTATTGTCTTCAGCTTTCAAGATTTTGTAATTTTACTTTCGCCCTTTTAATAATTTACCTAAAACATCAAAATGCCTCCTATCGATATGACCAATCCTGCTACAATCAAATTCTTCATAGAAAATTACGAGAAGACCGCCCGTCTTCGAATGAGATGGAATAACCTTTATTGGGACAAGTTGAACAAGGCTGCTAGTCTAACCCGAGAAGAGAAAGGATATCGGGTTGAAGACGTTTTAAAAGAAACTATGACCGGAGGTTTACCAACTATAACAAGAGATAATCAATCTGGTGCGAGGAACAAGAGAAAGATACCAATCCGCGACGGGGTCTTTATACCAGGTATTAAAGACATGAAGAAGGGACATTCGATTGTTGAAGTTGGTCTTGCAGATCCTAAAAAGGATCCGACCGTTGATCGGCCAGATACTGACCTCAAACCAGATCCAAAAATGCGGCCTATTCATCCGAAGCACAAAAAGCTTATCTACAAAGGTCTTCCGAACTTTGGACGAGAAGTCTACTTAAAGGAAAGAAATAAAATGGCTCCTGAAGACAAGTATTATTTTCTAGAAACTACTGGCTGGGAATATGGATGGCGACTTAGCGACAGCTACTTCGGTAGACATGCACCTCAGTATGGACGTGTGTGGCTACTGACTCGCGGCGCCATATCCCGCAGCGGTGCGCAACCAGATCCGGACCACTACCAAACTATAAAACTACCGGGACCAAATAAGTGTAATATGTAGGAAGAGTTTTTAACTTAACTTTTTGTCGCGTATTTTTAGGTAATGTTTTCTTGTAACTTGTACTTTAATTATTTTTATAGTTTTAATTTGTATTTGATAATTTAGTAATTTAATAATACACTTCGATTCAAGGTTAAGTTTACTTTTATTTCTGTCAACTTCATGTGAAAATTGATTTTAACATGAAAGATAGCGCATTCGTCACGTTGAACACTATCTCCATTTTTCGTAGGTACCTATATAGATATAAGTACTTAAGTAGGTGAATCCGATTAATTCAAGCCGATAAGTAGGTATGTGGACTACATGGTTAGCTGGTAAGTTTGTGTAGGTAAGTACCTACATACGCATACATTTTCAAACTACTACACTGTAGTAAACACATAATATACCTAATTACATATCTACGCTGCCTGTACGTCTGTATACTGAAATAGGTAGGTAGTAACGTGCGCTCTAAAAGAAACACGTGCGCTAAACGTAAAAACTTTAGATAGTTTTTAATTCTCAAAATGGCGGTGTTGGTAGATACCTAATTAAACTGGAGGTAATAAAAATCTTTATGCGGTAAATTAAGATACTAAAACAGCGTAATCCGTAAGAATAAAAGTCATAAATCAAGTTAAAATCTCCAATGTCGTCTCGTTCACGCGTTATATAAAAGTTAATAACGATTTAAGTTCCTAGCTAAACCTATTCGATGTCGTAAGACTTGGTTGATACATACTGGGTTCATGCTTAGAATGTACACAGCTACTTGAACACTTGCATATAACCGAGGTATATGATCACCAATAAATTATCCTATTCTTGTCTACCAATACCTCTCAATAGGTAGTACCGATCTTTTTTATGAGACAAGCCGGTAAACGAGCCATGGGATCACCTGATGGTAACCAATCGGCATCGCCCATGGACACCTGGAGGCGTTACGAGTGCCTTACCGGCCTTTTGAGGATTAGGAATTTGAGGATTGTTGAGCATTCAGGGATTGAGGAGAGTGGGGAAGGAAGGGGGAGGCAATTGGTAATTTCTGTGAGGATCTACTTTCCATTACAACTAGCACATCCTATTTGTCAGATGAGATCAAGATTTGACTGACATCAGTAACATTACGTGTAATGTGATGTATTTTATTTATTATGAGCAGCCAGATGTTATGGAAAAGTTGCTGTTCTCCATTTTCTATTTTATGACTTTTAACAAACACCTGCTATGCATTGGAAAATTGGTATTCATTTTTATTTGTAGCCTCTGCTGTTTTTACATGTAATTGCGTTGTAGTTTGTTTATGGAATAGGAGGCAAACCAGTGGACGGATTATCTAATGGTTAGCGATCAGCGCCGCCCATCAACACCCGCAACACCAGAGGAGCACTACCTACTAGAAAAAGGTGCGTTGCCGGCCTTTTAAAAAGGATTACACTCTTTTCTTGAAGGTTTTTTTTTTTTTAAGGTGGGAAAATCATCGAATGACTGCCCCCGCCTGGGTGAGGCGGGAGGAATTGTCAGACTCTTACTGACTAAAAACCACCCCGTTCCTTCTCCTGCACGTCGAGCCGAGCCCCGGTTACCCGTTAGGTTCTCCGCGACTCCGAATCGGCATCGGCCCTATTGGGCCCCATCTGTGGTGGTCTGATGGCTCTTTGAGGCGCGCGCGGAACGCGACGCGCCGTACGCTCGGGTCTGTTTCTGGTCGGACGGGGAGCCACCCATGCTCGCCGTCCGCAGGCCCGCGCTTACGGTGGCCGGAGATCGTCCCGCGATCCCCGACGCCCGGTGTGTCCTTCGCGATGGCTGGGTTGCGAGGAGGCAGCGCTTCGCTGCCTCACGCGTCCCGCCTCCTCCTTAGCTAGCATGACTGCTTCGCAAAAGGAGGAGACGGCATCCCAATCCCCCTCGCTCCGCATCATGGCCTGCACTAGGCCCGGACGCGAGAGGTCGCCATCGCCGATCACTTCCCTGAGGACACGGCGGTGCTCTTCTTGAAGGTTTACCGATTAGCCAAATCCGCATTTGGATTTTTCAGAATTGGGTACTTGCTAACTAGTCGAATTCAATACTTTTTTCGAACTGTCAAAAACTACAGTTTTTTGAATTTTGTACGAAATTGTGTATTGTGACGTCATGTTTTATTAGCGTCAAATAGCATTCATATTTCTTGCTAGAAAAACTAAAATTAAGTTGGTCATCAAATAAATTAATGAATGTGTTTATTTTTTTTATATTTTACTAGCTTCTGCCCGCGACTTCGTACGCGCAGTCCCGTTTTCTCCCGTTCCCGTAGAATTTTCAGTATTTTTTCTATCATAAGAACCTTCTCCTGACAGTAACAAATACAACAAAAAAAAGATCAGTCAAATCGGTCAAGCCGTTCTTAAGTTATGGCGTGACAACGGGAAACGAGTTTCAGTTTTATATATATAGATTATATTGAACAGTCGAAATAATTTATTTCTGATTAAGGAAAGTACCTAATTTTTAACTGACTACCTAATTAAGAATTGCCGAACAAAAGACCTCGATATATAAAGTAATTATTATATACAATGCAAAATTAAACAAAGTGAGAATTTTCCACAATTTATTTTTCAAACTTAATGCTAGGATTTCGTTAACCTAATAATAATATTTACAGTCGTCATTGTAATAACAGCACATACACAGAACACTTTAGTACAGTCAAATGAACGATAAACATAGATAAGGCATAACTCTGATTTTCGACACTATAACAAAGTCATTAAGTTGAAATTCTATAATTAGAATTTGTAGATCTGCTGGAGACTACATATATCACTCTATTTTAGCACATATAATAAATCCTATAACGTAAATATTTGTTTACCCTGGGAACCAAAACAGATTTCTATTACGCGCCTTCTTTTCTTGGTACCATTCGTCATATTTAATTTACTATTTATTGCTGAGCTTATAAAAATCTAATTTAGTACGTTTAGAACACAATCTTGTGAATTTGTTGCCTTCAGTACATTGCCAGACTAGACACAATAGCTATATTACTACAGACCTTTTGCGATACGGGTCCGCGATTAAAGGAGCCCCGCGTAGAAATTGGACCCGCACGAAAGAGCCCCGCGAAAAGGGCGGTTTCTCGATATTTGCTTCGGGATCCGTACACACTAAATCTGCCACTGCTTCAGTACCTAATTAAGTTCTTCGTTCCTATTTTCTCTCTTCAACTGTACAGTGATAAGGCATACTTATTATCAGACATTATGCTTCCTCTTGGCGGACGGTTTGTCAAAGACTTGTTTCATGCCTCCCCTGAAGTTAGCCAGCCTAGCTGCCGCGCCTTCGTTGCTCCAAGCTGAATCAAACTCCGTTGTATCTTGATCCACCAAATGCGTGTATTTCGTACGTCCCGAACGACCGAATTTCTTAACTTGCATTACCTGTGAGAGAGGTAAAATAATGTTGAGTCAGTTTCAACCTAAGTCATACCATAATATAGTTGATTTCAGAATGATTCGATTGTAGAGCAGTATTACTATTCAAATGACATCATTAGTAGTTGATTTGAGTTTCATCCAAGATCATGCTTACTATCGTTTTTGACAAAACATTTTTACAACCTTTTACCATAATACTAGAAGAAAGCAGTGTATTTTACATAACATAACATAACATCACGCCTTCTATTCCCGAAGGGGTAGGCAGAGGTGCATTGTAATGTTATGTCCAGTTTTCACTATTTATGTTATGAGTCCCATGTAAAAGGGGGTGAGCCTATTGCCATATACCGGGCACTATTCCAGGCTCCGTGCTACTACTGAGAATTTTTAAAAAACCCAGTAATACTTTGCCCGACCCGGGAATAGAACCCGTGACCCCTTGCCCGGCAGTCGCATTTGCGACCACTCGGCCAACGAGGCAGTCTGTGTGCCTTACAGTCAGTGTATTTTACAACAATACGCAAAATTATTTATAGAACTTACCTTAGGCAAAACAGTCTTATCAAAGTGATCATCCAAAGTTGGACCAGAGAAGTCTTGTTTGAAGACCTCGTCTTCTTTGTCCAGGTAGAAGGCACCCCTGAAATTTTTATCATAAATCAGTTTAGGTGTAACAATCTAAGGAGACAGAAAGTTCTGGATCATTTGAAATGAGAAATTATAATATCAATATTCCATAGTCTTGATTATAATGTAATTTAAATAATTATTAGTTCTAGTTACAGTTCAAGTAAATAACTAAAAGAATACAAATGTACCTGTGGTAATATTTCTGTAGGAACTTGTATTTGCCCTTGACAGACTTGTTGGTTACGAGTTTGGGATTGAGACGCTGTTCCACGCGGCGTTCCTCCTCCGTCATGTTACGCATACGCTCAATAGCCAATAGTTCCTTCTCCACGCTGAAAGTAAAAATATATGTATATGTAGTTAAGACCAAGAAAGAAAAATACAAAAGTGTTCGTGTCAGCCAATGGGTTAATTAATGGGTTAAGTTTGTTTTTCTATTCCTCTATATCCTATTTTTATATATTTCTTATGTTAATTTTAGTTGTGTACACTTTAGTTTTTATTTATTTTTTTATTTAAACTATTCCTTACTAACGATTATTACAAAAACAGCTATTCAGGACAGGGTCAAGTAAGTAACCATTAACCTCTTGTTTGTTCGATATATGGGACACAATAGAAAACACATTGTGTCTCGCATAGATCTACGTTTCTTCACTTCACAGGTTAAATGACCCTGAGTATGATTGTAAGACATTGTTCAGCTTCATTAGTAAAGGTTACTTACGCTTCTCTCTCTTCCTTGTCACGTTTGATGCGCTTCATTTCACGCAGCTTCCACGCCTCGTACTCTAGTTCATCATTCTCGTCATCAGTACACACGTCATTGATGTTACCTTCTTTATGTTCACCCTGGAATAAAAAATATAAGTCTGTAAGAAGGTATCCTGTTGACACAAAGTATATCTGAATTTATCAACAGTTAACACTAACATAGGGAAAATAATGCATGATGGACGACCTTTAAAAATGTGATTACGATAATTGTTAGGCTGAATTGAAAGGTATTATACTATTAAAATATATAATAACTACTTGATACTAAAAAAGGTAAAGAATTTAATTATTGTTGGTTTAATATGCATCTCTGAAACGAAAAATCAGACTTGAAACATTAATTTTGTGTCCATTTTTTATAGAAGGCTATAATCTATATTCTATATGTATATATAAAAATTAAAACCCTTTTGCCTTGGTCACGGCAACACGCGTGAATGGCTGGACCGATTCCACTAATTATTTTTTTGTTGTATTTGTTATTATTAGGCGAAGGTTCTTAGGATAGAAAACATACTGAAAATCCTACGGGGACTAGAGAAAACGGGATTGCGTGTACGAAGTCGTGGGCAGAAGCCAGTAGACCTTAAAACCAAAGTACAACCAATAGTAAGAAGTAATAATGTAACAAACCTGTGTAGCTCTCTGCTCAGATCTGATAGTCTCTTCAACCAGTTTCAGAGCCTCTCTTCTCCTTTCTTCTTTTTCTTTCCTGGCTTCTGCTTCCTCTTTCTTCTGCAGCTTAATTTTCCGTTCTCTCTCTTGCACTGTCATTCTGTCTGAAGCTCTTACAAAAACGGGTTTTACGCGAGGACCTATAAGAATGTTGCATATCATTAGACATAATGTAGAATCAAAAGAATGTCTAATTGCAGTGTGCAGCACTTGCACAGTCCAGGAACATATTGAAAGAAAATTGTGCTACAAAGGTATGTTATAATTATGTAATCATACAATTATATAAATTGTAATTACTTTACCTGTATCTTCTTCACTGTCTGTGTACTCAGTGTCTGATGAGCCACTCTCCTCCTTATCTCCATCTAACATTTCCTCATCATCATCTCTACCAAGAACCTCCTTCTCAGCTTCCCTGTAAATGCAAATTAATATTGTATAACAGTAATTAAGAGGTAACAGAGTTCTAGTCACAGATTTCTCCTGTTGTTATTCTTCATTGCAAAAAGATTTGTAGGACTCACTAACTTAATATTAATTTACAATCTCATGCAAAGATTATAAAACTATGTATAGCCAAACCTCTTTTCTTTTGAAAAGTAAGTTAACATAAGGCACTTTTTTAACCAATTAGCTTTCAAATTAGGAAAAATCAGACTAAAACTAAAGGCAAACTCTCTATTTACATACCTAGCAGCAAGTTTAGCTTTGAGAGCCTGTCGGCGTCTCTCGATCTCTTCCTCATCAAGTTCATCCTCACTTTCCGAGCTGTCCTTGAATTCCTCAACACTACTTTCATGTTCCTCCTCAGGTTCTGCATCAATAATCTCTGGCTTGTGCTCAGCTCGTCTCGGAGGAGACTGGGCCGCTTGTCGTAAACGTCGCAAACGCGGGTCATCCACCTAATACGCCAAATGAACAAACTATTAAATGAAATCACTTTATAATGCTACACAAGCAAGTTTTTGATCACTATCTCACCTTTAGGCAAGAGTCATTAGAAAAGGAATGTTTCAATGAAATAAATACATCAGATTAAACTAACTTCTTTCTCAGAATCACTATGGTGTTCATCCTTCTTGGTTATAATCTGTGGTAAAGTCTGCTGCCTGCGATCTGGCTTCTGTTGCTCTATAAAGTCTTCAGTGTCAGATTCTTCTGATGACGACGCACCTTGAGCATAGTCTGGCTTTTTACCCGATATATATCTCTGTACTTTCACCTTCTGCATAGATATCTCTCCTGCAAACAACAAAATATGTAAGATGGGAAAGAAAAGTGGTAAAGAAAACTGTGACAATTTTGATGCAAATGATCACTATTAATATCAAACTAAAGACTGACCTTTTTCATTTCGAATAGGAACAGCTCCTGCTGTACTCTGTATCCCAACGGGTTGGGCTGGAAGCGTATTCATTTTGTCCTACGGATGCTACTTTCAGTCACTTAAATTGTTCGTGATTAAATTTAGATACCACAGAAGTATTAGATGAAGATGATAGTTGATTGTGTAAGTTGTAAGTATAAGTAAATAATGATTCTCAGTAGAAATTATTTGAAATGTAGAAATAAACACAACCAATAACCACACTCAAATCACTGATCACTCACTAATGTCTTTTTTTTTTGACACCGAAATGACATTCCGTCGTAATGACATTTATATTGTAAAACCATCGAGTGTAGAGTATAATAGGGATGTTTAAAGTCCAAAGTCCAACCAGCAATAGTTGAAAACATATTATCATCGCATAGCGTAAAATTCGTAAATACCTAGTTAAAAATAACGGATAGAATTTTAAAGATATTGCTTTAAATACTGTTTAAGAACGCAAAAGCTTAACAATGTTGTAACATTTCTAGCAACTTAAATCATGTTGGTCACTGACTGCAACTGAAAACAACCCCATGACAAACCAAGGACCAAGGCCACGGACGTTGAAAAATAAATAACGACAAACAATAACAATCAATCAAATTCTAACAAACGAATAATTTCATATCTTCGCCAAATCCATTTCCAAGATCGAAGGTGGGCCGAAGATGCACATAAGGGCTGTTTAGGTTAAAATAACCTATGCCAATTTCCAAACAAAACTAATTTAAATCACTTGTTTTTTTTTTTGTATATGAAATAACAAGTGATTCTGTTATTTTTTACTTTATTACAAACTTTTACATTACCAGACTTTACTACTTTAGTATCTGTCAAATTCCAGTATAATTTCAAGTTCAATTTAATATTCTATTTTTGCGAGTGCGACTTTCCAGATTTACCTATTTGGTATTGGTTGTTTTACTTTTAGGTACCATAATACTACTACGTAATAATTAATATCTCATTATTCATCTATTGAATGCATAGAAAGTAGAAACGTTAGTTTTCCATGATTGAATGCATGTTGCGAGCTTCTGGTATTTGTATCACACTTGACTTTTGTTTTTATCAGCAGAGTTTGTTATCATCTTTTTTTTCTCAACAGTCAACAACTTTATCTGTTTGATGTATAATTATTTCGTATTTCTGTTCTGTTTAACTGATAGGGAATTCAGACTGAAGTTTGTAGCGTAACAGCAATTTAATTGAACATTATTTTAATTGGTTTAAGAAGATACCCTACCTACTACCTACTTATAATGGCAGCTTCTTCGGAACTTCAGAGCCTAGACTTATTGATATCCAAGAACTTGTCTGATGTTGAATTACAAGAATACAATCGAATTCACTATGGGCGCACCCACCATCACGAACTGAATATAAAGGAAAGTAGCCAAGAATCTGCGAAGGAAAATGGTTTTGAAATTGCTTCCTATGACTTTCCGACCAAGAAAGAAGAAACTAGGAGTCCACGTATAGTAAGAGTTGGTGTTATTCAACATACGATTGCGACATCCACTGATAAACCAATAGTGGAACAGAGACAAGCTATTTTTGAAAAAATTCGCAAAATTATAGAAGCAGCTGGAGAGGAAGGTGTAAATGTACTTTGCTTACAAGAAGCATGGAACATGCCATTTGCTTTTTGCACAAGGGAGAAGCAGCCTTGGTGTGAATTTGCTGAATCTGCTATAAATGGGCCAAGCACTCAGTTCCTAAAAGATTTAGCTATCAAATATGGCATGGTCATTGTATCACCAATCCTAGAACGAGATGAAGTGCATGGAGATACTATCTGGAACACTGCTGTAGTTATCAACGAAGTAGGCAAGGTAATTGGAAAGCATCGCAAGAACCACATTCCCCGTGTTGGAGATTTTAATGAATCTACTTACTACTTTGAGGGGAATACTGGTCATCCAGTGTTTGATACAAAATATGGCAAGATAGCTGTTAACATTTGTTATGGCCGTCACCATCCACTGAACTGGCTCATGTTTGGAGTAAATGGAGCTGAAATTGTGTTTAACCCTTCAGCTACTGTGGCAGGATTGAGTGAACACCTGTGGGCTGTTGAAGCTAGGAATGCTGCTATAGCTAACAGCTATTTTACATTTGCTATCAATAGAGTAGGAACTGAATCATTCCCTAATGAATTTACATCTGGAGATGGTAAACCAGCCCATAAAGAATTTGGACATTTCTATGGATCAAGTTACTGCACTGCTCCTGATGGTGCCAGAACTCCATCTTTGTCCAGAGTGAAGGATGGCTTGCTGATAAGCCAAATAGATCTCAATCTATGCAGACAGATCAAGGATAAATGGGGCTTCACAATGACCCAGCGCCTTGATTTGTATGCTGATAGCCTCAATAAAGCTGTCAAGCATGATTTTGTACCTCAAGTTGTTTCCAACAACTAATGCTATACACAAATAGCTTTTGTGTTGTTTGCTTATAAATGGTGCTAATCTGTTTATTGTTTTTGCAATCTTTATGTAATGTAAGCTAAAATGCATATTATAATTATTATACTGTTTATCACAAATTGTTATTTTAAATGTTGTTGTTATCTAGTAGTCTTCACTAAATGTCTATTTTTATACATGTTACATTATGTTTCGAAAGTATACAACTTGTTACATCATAAAAATGTGTTTTATTAAAGATATGAAATAAAACAACTATTTATAAAACCATTGTGTATCAATGAGAATAATACAGAAGTGAGCTATACATAAATATAGGGGTTAAAATGGGGTACACTCAGGCAATACCTCATTCAGCCAATCACAAAAATTTTGAGCACATCACTAATTATTTACCAGAAGAAAGCAACTAAAAGGTATACATTATACTAAGAACTTAGTTCAGTTCATTCTAGATCAATTGATTTTGAATAATAAATACCAAAGGTACATGGAGGAATTAGGTGCACCTCTTATTATGTCTATCTACTTACAAATTGCACAATAACAATAGCCAGCACCAGATTACAGCTGACAATGTTTAGAAAAATATTACAGCAAAAATAAGGCCCACGACTGCATGTACCCCAGTTCCATGACTGTATAATTAGTTTATCACTAAGCACTAATACTCTATGCAGTCTTTGCACGGATGGCAGCACGTTTACCAGTGACAGCCTGGAAACCAGACTTGATGCTGGCCACAGAGCAACGGGAACCACATGTTTCACACTGAAGGAAGAATAATCGAGTATCTTTCTGGAGGATGGTGTCAGGAGAGCGGCATGTATGACATGTTACATATTCCTTAATATACCGACGAAGAACATTCTCTATCTGTTTCTGTTGGAAACGACCTTTGATAATGAGTTGACTGTTACCATCTACAGACCCACTTGTACCCAACTCAGCCAATAAAAAGTCTAATAAATGTTTAGGCTGCCGGTGAAGAGTTTTGCAGATCTCTGTGAAGTTGGCAAATGATGTTTTCTTAGTTCCAATTCTAACAACTTGTGGAGGTCTCATGATGAATTTTTGTTTTTTGCCAGAAACCATGCTAGGATTCTTTTCTCGCATGATGTCGAACACTCGCTCTAGTAGCTCGTCGTACGTGTAGTCACGGTCTGTACCGCTCCATAAATCACCACTAACATCCTCCACATTTTCTTGATCTTCACCCTTGGTGTCATCTTCAAGGACGAGCTCCTCGATGTTTTTCTTCTTCTTCTTCTTTTTAGTTTTGGAGAAGTCAATATCTAGATCTAAATCGTCAATAACCTCGTCCTCTTGTTGTTCCGGCTCTTCGGCCGGAGGTGTTTCCGGTAACGTACTTTCAAGTTCTTCCATGTTAAAGACTCCCTTCTTCTTCTTCTTCTTTTTCTTTCCAAAATTATCCAAATCGAGGTTATCATCCTCAGGCAAGTCGACGTCACCCGACCCAGCGGGCGCCTCCACGCTCGTGCTCTCACCTTGTTCGCCTGCGAGAGCGGCATCTATGTCGAAACCAGTCTTCTTCTTCTTCTTTTTCTTTAAAGATGGATCAAATACCATGTCGTCGTCCATGATTAAGTTTAGAATTAACCACTAAATTACGTTAAATATTTTAGTGAATGGTTATATTTCAAGATAATTTGGCAGGTGGCTATCAGGCTGTGGTTAATGTCAAAACGTTGCATCAGCCTAGGACATTTCGTTCCGGAACAACCATAATTTTCAGTTGGTAACACTGTAGTGTTCATTATTTATCTTTTTTTGTTAGTTTTAGCGATGAGCGAAATAGAAAAGAATTATTGTTCAATAGAATTATTAAAATATTTTGGTTATACACACATTTTCCTTGTCCTTTTACAATTTTAGACACCAGCCTTTGTATTTTGGATTTGGAGCCTTGTTCGTTGTATTTTGGATTTGTTCTTGACGTTATTGATTTCAGAACGAATCATAACCTCAAAAATTAAATAAGCCTTCAAAATATTACAAACTCGAAGTGATTTCATTGTGAATCCAAAATGTATTTAAACAGAGTTCACAGAACGTTTCCTAAATTAAAAAAGCTAGTAACCAGACGACAATCTCAAGCTGTGCTATCTGAACAGAATGAGTACACTGATACACCGGAATATCCACCTATTTTGGACATGTCTTTACAAGGCAGAAAATTTAGAGAAAGACAAGAACTTCATCAAAAAATTCAAGCAATAAATACTGTGGAGGAGAAACAGATTGCTCTCAATATGCCTCGTTATTATGGGTGGAAGTGTATTATATTCAATGAAGATAAAGTGCCCTACAATGCTATGCCCCTAGTTCAATATTACACAAGAAGTCACTTCATTCCTGTTGATAAGCTCCCGGAATATTATAAGGAAACAAGTGAGGCAGCTGACGCTGTTGTAAAAGAGATTAAGGGGCTCATTGAAGAAGCTATTCTGATTGAGAACGGAGGTGTTGAGTAAGTATTGGATTGAGTACTTTTTCCTTTAATACCCTATAAATAAACAAAGCCCTTGTAAAGTTGTTAATTTTGATAGATAGTTTATATTATACTACAAAAAAGCAAAGACATAATTATTTAATTTTTACACATTATGTAATTCATGTCAATCTATTTTACATTTCAGCCGAAAAATCATTACCAGTACACAAAAGAAAGAACAACCACAGTTAGAGGATGCTTTAGCTAAATGTATAGTGAAGCAAATAAACAGAATCATCTCTAACAATTTAGCTGACAAAGTGGAACATGTTTTATCATCACAAGTAAGTACATATCTATCTGTTTAAGTTAAACTTATGCTGCAAACTCCTTTTTAAACAGTGAAACTTCAATAAAATCAATAACTTAAAATTATATGCAATACTACATAAACTTTCTGGCTTATTTGTATTTTATTATAAGCTTCAAATTAAAGCATTACCTACTATAAAGTAAATACTTATACAACTACTTGTGAAAGTACATTAAATTCATATATTATTATTTATATCCAGGTTGATTATGATCCTCGCCATGAAGCATTTTGGTTTATTGGTGGTGTAGATGCACCCATCAATGTTGTGAGGTGGAGGCAGCAGTATAAATATCTTAAGGATCGCTGGTATGAGTCTATCGACAGGCCTATTCAATACTTAGGTATGCAAATACAACACAATCATTGAAATTACAGTCTTAAGTAACAGGAACTTGAGATTGATTTGTTATTGATTTCTGTTTCAGGAACTCCATTACTGACAGTAAGAAACCGTTTACCTTTAAAGCCTATTCTGCCTTTTGAAGAAGCTGAGAATCCTGAATTCAAAGTACCTAAGTTCACAGCTGAACCTTGTGCTGTTGGATATAGTACAGAACACAGGCATGGCACTAATATACCAGGTAAAGTAAATTAATACTTATTGCAGTTGCCTAATCAATTGTCATTTGTACAACATAAAATATTGAAGAAATTAATTTATCATTCCCATTGTGGAATTAATTAAAGCAAATATCTGATATCTTGTTTATTTCACAGGTTTCTGGCCTGGTGATTTTGATGAATTTGGCCTGGTGTCTTATCACGGCCGTGGTCACATCCTAGGCAGAAGAGAATCGTTTGGACCTGAAGACCATATTGAAGCTTTGCATTGTCAAGCAATGAAAGCCAGCTTCGGTTGGTTACTAGCCCAGGCTAATTACCAAGGATTCACTACTTTTAATGATGTAACTTATCCTTTAGTTACACAAACTGTTATCACTAATGGTCAGCTGTGGTCTCTTTATGCATATCAATTAAATACTATTGAGATGCATCGAGACAAGGTTGATAGCCCCAAAAGCAACATTTGCTTTGGAACAAAACCTCTGAAATTGTATGACAGCATAGAGAATGGAAAAGTACAGGGTCTTAATGAGGATGTGTTGAAGATGATTGTCCAGTTTTACTTGAATGCTCCTGAAGAACGAGACCATGAAATGAAACCATATTTAGGTGAAGAAGAACAAGTCGTAGCTGATATTGAAGATGATAATAAGCGCTGTTGGCTTGAAAACCGATACAAACACTTAGTATCTAATAGACCCAAACATTACTTATTGCCTGAAGTTTACTTATGGGAGCGTATATACAAGATTCAATTCAACTCTAGATTCTTTGAAGCTAAGAGGAGACCATTTGAACTGGGAATTAATCCTTACACCAGAAGATTGGATCAACATCTACCTCCTTATATTCCTAAAGGTTTGAGGCCATATCCCAAGAGCAGAAAGAAGTTCGAAACAACTTACTATCCTAAGGTTTAAAATAGATAACATGTAATTAGCTGTAGCTACTGTAATTTATAGAGATAAACATTATTGCGTTGATTGGCATAGTTTTATTTCATTTCTTGTCTTCCTAAATGCAACTATTATTTATTTTTTCCTAAGTGCGCACTCAGTGTTGACTATATTTTTTATTAATTTCATGCTGATTAAAAGACGAACTTGTTTGAAAAGTACTTAGTTTCATAACATTAATTACCCCCAAAACAGTTTTTCTTAATGCCATCACACCGTCAGAATCAGATGCGAATAGTACTTAGTATTTTTATTACATAACATATCATGCCTTTTATCTTCGCAGAGATGCACATTATACCACTGTACAATTTCACTATTTATGTTGAGTCTCATGTCCTATTACACGGGACTCATAACATAAAT